GGGAAGGCCAAAGCAGGTGGGGGGATAGGGGGAGGGAGAGAGGAGAAGGGAGGGCCAGAGCAGGTGGGGGGAGGGGAGAGGAGAAGAGAGGGCCAGAGCAGGTGGGGGGGGGGGGGGGGGGGGGGGGGGGGGGAGAAAGCTTCCAGGCTTGAGTTTCACCTTCCTGGAAATGAAGGCCTCTCCGAGACAGAGAAGAAAGGAGGGCTGTTGGTGGAAGGGGGACGTCGAGCTGGAATCCTGGGCTGGCCTTTGACTGCAGCTGAAGATTTGGAGGGCTTAGTGGGAGGTGGAGGGGTGACCCCTCTGTGCATGTAGACAGGTGATGGGCCCCTGCTCTGGGGTAACAGCAGTTATTGTTCAGTCATGACCCTGTGGACCCTACTGTCTGGCGTGATGGGGGGGGGGTTCTCTTGGCAAAGATACTGGGCTGGTTTGCTATTTCCTTCTCTGCAGGATTAAGTGGGGAGAGGAGGATTGAGGCAGAGGTTAAGTGACTTGCCCAGGGTCATACAGCTGGTGAGTATAGAGGCTAGATTTGAACTCAGGTCTATCTGACTCCAGGCCCAGTCAGCTATCCCCCGAGCCTCCTAACAGCACCTAGCTGCTGCCACCTAATTGCTCCTGACAATCAGACTGAGGTGACTGGAGAACAGAGGACAGCAGTGAGTAGATGATGCAGCCAAGTGTGAGAGTAATAGGGCTGGGAAGGGAGGACTCTGTATCCAGGAGAGCTCCCTGAGTGGGGAGGGCAGTGACATGGTCAGAGGTGGGCTTTACGAAAGTCACTGGAGGCTCAGACACAGACTGGACAGAGGAGAAACCTGGAGCTGGGAGAAATATTATCAATCTCTGATGTGGAGGTGATGCCACCCTGCTGGTGGAAAGTGAAGGGGAATTGAGAAGCCTCTTGAGGAGGGGGAAAGAGGGGAGTGCAAAAGCTGGTTTAAAGCTTAACATCAAAAAAACTAAGCTCTTGGTGACCGGTGCCATCACTTCCTGGCAAATAGAGGGAGAAGAAATGGAAGCAGCGGCAGATTCTATGTTCTTGGGCTGGAAGATCACTTGCAGACTGTGACTGCAGCCATGAAATCAGAAAATGTTGCTCCTTGGAAGGAACACTGTGGCACACCTGGCCACACGCTAAAAAGCAGAAATATCACCTTGCTGACAAAGGTCAGCAGAGTCTGAGCTATGCGCAACTGGAAGCGGGGGCTGTTAGGAAAGCAGAGCTGCAGAAACGGCACTTGCCAGTTGTGGCACTGGAGAAAATGTTTGAGAGTCCCTTGGACAGCAAGGAGATAAGTCAGTCAATACTTAATAAGAAATGGATCCAAGCTGTTCACTGAAAGGTAAATACTGAAGCTGAAGCTTAAATACTTTGGCCACATGGGGAGAAGATGAGACTCATTGGAAAAGCCCCTGATGCTGGGAAAGATTGAGGGCAAAAGGAAAAGGGGACGGCCGAGGAGGAGATGGATGGAGGGTGTCACGGAGACTTGGAGATAGTGGAGGCCAGAAGGGCCTGGCATTCCGTGGTCCACGGGGGTCACAAAGAGTCAGACCCGACTGAACAATTGAACCACAAGGTGAGTCAGTCAGCCAGTATTAAGTACCTACTGTGTTCCAGGGATTGTGCCAAGCCCTGAAGATACAATGAAAGGCAAAAGACAGTCCCTGCCCTACCCTCAAGGAGCTTCCAGTCCAGTGGCATCTACAAGGGAAGGAATGAGCCAGACTGACCTTAGAAAAAACCTTCCCGTCATGAAGGCTTGTACTGAGCAGATCTCTGAGCCCACTTCAGGAAGCTATTATTATCCCCATTTTACAGCTGAGGAAACTGAGGCTGAGAGGTGAAGGGGAGGTGAGACTTCAGGTGAAGTAATAGCTCCCACTTAGCTTCCCTGGGGAGTTTTGGGAACCTCTCCAAAGGTCTGGAGCCTGACCACCCTGAGATCAGCTCTCTAGAGCTCCCGCCAGCCAATCCAGCCATCTGTCAATCAACTAGCATTTCTTAAGTCTCTACCACACGTTGGGCTCAGTGCTAAGTGCCAGGGGTATATATAAAGACAAAAGTCCCTGCTCTCAAGGAGCTCACATTGTAACACAGGAAATGGTATGAATGTATCTAAGCATGTACAAAATGAACATGAGGTCTAGTAGTCCCCCCCCACTGAAACCATCCCCACCCTCACCCCTGCCTTCAGAGCTACTTCCCCAGCTCCTGCTCACATAGTTGGGGCTGGTCCCCAGAGGACAACTGACTACTCTCCTGAAGCTGGGTTCTGTTTCTCACAAGCCCCCACTGGTGTGCTTCCCATTAATAGTCAACCAGTAGCCTCAATTAGCTTTTAGAAAAAGTATTTACTGAAATGGTATATTAAGAACAGTTGATACAAAAATGATCCATCATCTCCCCCCAAACCAGGACCATGCTCTCTCTCCTCTCTCTCTCTCTCACAAAAGATTCCTAGAAAAAGTGGGTTCACATTTGAGAGATGGTGGTAAAAAACATATGTAGAAAACAAGTGTGGCCAAAGGGTAAACTCATAAGACTTGGTGCTGAGACATCTTTTCTCCCTTTTTGAAAGGAATTATCTTGTTCACATAGCCACAGTGCCTAGGTGGGGGGGATGCAGACAGCTGACACTCCCCCCACCCAGAGCAGCTCCCAGCAGTCTTTGCTTTATAAGTGTCTGCCCTTGGTACCTCCTGACCCTCCTGGCTCCAAAGCAAATTAGAAAAATTTTCATTATCACCCAGGATAAATTGCTTAGCTACACATGGCTGGAAAGAGGCTTAGCAAATCCTAAATGTTGGAGCCAGGCAGGGAATATGATCTGTATAATCCACCAAGAAGGGCAAATCTAGGCATACTTTAAGGATTCTATGGCCAGTCCTTTTCCTGCTAAATTTTTGGAAAGGAAGGCACTGCATGGGAGGATTGAGGAAGGTTTCATGTAAGAGGTGTCCCT